CTTGATGACGTCCCTCCATCTTTTCTTTGGGGCTCCTCGTGGTCGCTTGCCCTCTACTTCGAATTCCAATGCCTTCCTTATTGGGTGGTCTTCAGGCCTCCTCAGTACGTGCCCATACCATCGCAGTCGCTGCTCTCGTGCCTTCAGCTGGATCGGAGCCGTCTGTGTGACCGCCCTGACGTCCTCGTTTCTGACTCTGTCGAGTCGTGTCCAACCGCAGGCCCATCTCTTCATCACGATGCGCGCAGAAATGAGGCTGGAGCATAGTGGAAGTCGACTGCTATTTGCGTCTTCACAGACGTCCACAGCGTTCGCGTTTTGAGGTTCCGCAGCGAACAACATGAAGGGCAAGCTGTGTATCGCGGCCAGGTAAAGAAAACAACAGCTCTTCAACCTTACGGGAGAGGTGCTGACAAGTAGCAAGATTAGCTCGACAAATCGTATGGCTGACAGTGTACGTGTCCCGTGTCAGCGCGCGGGTGGAGCCCCAAATGGCATACGGTTAACACTTGCCCTCCAGCCTCATTCCCGTGCGTTTTCGAGTGGCAAATGAGGTACTCTTATATAGCTGCAAACCTATTCATCTCACTCATAGCAAGTACAAGAATCCTCGAAAGGGAGTGTACAACATATCTTCAACCCCCTACAAAATGTCGAAGAGTTGGGTAGTACCGGCCCTGATTTCTGCGGCTACTTCTTTTACATCCTCAGCTTTTACATCCATTATGAACCTCGGGGTCACCAACTCGGTAAGCAAGGGAATCTTAGCGCTTTACTCACCTGACATTGCTTGTCCGCGTTAAAGATCGACTCTCCACTGAGCACGACGAGTAACTTACAGTCGTTCTCAACCACGCAGTCGCGGAATGTCAGCTTTGCGTTAGTTTTGGCGCGGAGCTAGGCCCCTTCCCTCATTGCGCGCCCAGCCGATCTGACTGACTTCAGTGAACATGACTACAATACTAGCCACTACTACAAAAAAAATGGGCAGGAGGTGGTGTAGTGACAAGTGGCGCGCTTACCACTCGCGCGGCGCCGGGTTCGAATCCCGGGTCGACACCCGCCCAGGCCAACCAAGCCTTCTACCCTCCGGGGACGGTAAATTGGTACCAGATTCGTCTGGGAGGATAAAACACTGACTTGTACATCGGCTGGCCACCGCAAGTCATTGTATAGGCCACATCGCATTCAATAAGCCACTACGATTCTGAATGGAAGTAGAATGCGTGCCGCATCCCACAAAGGGATTGATCAACGGCGAAGACTTTATCCTTTAGACTACAAATCAGAATCCCTCGTCATCCCGCTCTATCATGAGAATGACCTTGAACGAGGAGTGCGTAAGGTTAACCTGAACGCCAGCTAAGATAGTATAGGCGCTTGCACTAATCCGAAAAACCTACTATCTCGGGCGCCGACCGTTTGTCCTCCTGTCTGGGCCAGTACTACGACACCTTCTTGATTCTTCACCAGCACACCAACAGTTGCATGTTTGTCCTGAAAAGATCAAATGGCAGCGGGTCGAGAAGTTCGGGTCAGCCTAGAGTTTGAGTAGCTGTGAGAAGGGTCTTCCACAGTCGCCTTTCCCAAGACATCCCGTAATTTCGTACGCTTAAGGAACGGTTTGAGCGTTGTGATATTGTATCAGGCACTGGATGCCTTTTTCCGTTCACCTCCACTTCGCATGTGGACAGACCTACATGAAGGATATAGTGAATCTGGACCTAATAGTTGCAAAGGACCTCGTCAAAGCAGTTACCTGTATCTCCAATCTTTGACTGTAGCGTCTTGTCAACTCCAGTAACGGTTACATTCTGTGGGTTACCCTTGGTATCTGGCTGAAATTAGTGAGCTGAGGGCCATGGAAAGCTCGGAGAAGCTGACCCATTTCACTAACCTGACACTGCTTGTCCGCGTAGAAGATTGACTCTCCATGAGCACCTTTGACGAGCGTACCCCTGGTGTAGTTTCTCCATTTTGGCTGGCCATCCGCTCCTTTTTCTATCTTCTCTTCCGGAATGAATTGTGGTGTTTCTGAAGGGTTATATGAGTTTCATGAAAAAGACAATAAAGTGGATTGATAGCCAGTTCACCGTGAGCTCCTTTGACGAGTATTCCTTTCATTGGTTTGTCGATTTTCTTCTTAGGACCAATCTCGGCACCTTCCACTTTTTCAATTTCTATCAAGACAGCTACACCAGCGGGACCCTAGGCAGCTGGAATGACAAGGGGCAACTTACAGTACGCAAAAGTTAGGCCATCTTACCACAACCGCAACTTTGTCAGGTGTGATAGCTCCATCAATAGCTTTATCTTCATCGGTTTCAGAATCAGCTGCGTGGCGAAGTTCCACCACCTTCCTGAAGCCTGAAGTTTTCTGGAAATCCAGCACTCAACTGAGAAAGAACGAGTCCCACTTTCTATCGCTGTCATCGTCCTTCACCATCTTTTGCTTCTGTTTCTTTGCCTTTTTCTTTGCTCTACGTTCTTGTCTGTGCTTCTTGCAACGTTTCTTCTTTCCGTTCATTAATTTGACACATCCACAAGGGGGAGCGTCCATCATTATCTGCGCAACATTCCGATTACTGGAATTCCGTCCCATGACCGCAATGGCGGGTAGGGGGAGCAGATGGGGAAATCAGTGTTGCGCAAGGCAACGCAAACTTCAGTCGACAAGCGCTTCAAATTACATCTAGTCTGCGTTCATACTTTGCGGCAGCGTCCACCAGCGACCAATAGCGTCCATTAGCGTTCCGAGCGTCCGGCAGTGTCAGCGACTAGGAAAGTATAGATATCGATCTAGCGTTTGCCAGGGTCTGCCAGCGTGACAAGCGTCTACCAGCGTCCGAGAGGGGAAGAGTATGGCCCGATAGGAGGGTAGCAGACTGCTTGTAGAGTATGGCGCTGTCTGCTACTCTCCTATTGCGCCATACTTTCCTGTCCCAACGCTCGAGGACGCTGGTGCATGCTGGCAGAAGCTGGCAGACGCTGGATCGATCCCTATTCTTCCTTAGCCTTGAGACGCTTGTGGACGCTGTCGCAAAGTATGGA